AATGATGTTAAATACTGCAGGTAGATAAACAAATAGTTATGTATTTACCAATAATTGTGATAACTTTGCTAAACATCTGAAACGAAAACAGATTCAAATTGCACTTGTCAAAATGTGGTTATAAATATGTTTTTCACAGATGGCAAATTCTGAACAAATTGTATTTTATTGTGTTATGTTATTTTTATATTGCAAAAGAACACACAGATATTACAGCCATGGAAATATATAATAATCAAACAAGTGGATAATTGCATTAACTGAGCTTAAATGTATCAAAATAATGGGATTTTACTTTTTATTAAATTTGCACATACGTAGGGTAGATTTGACATTTGAAATAAAGTCTGATCAGTCAATAGCATATATATAATACTCTATATATCATATTAGCATTCTTTATAAATTGTTGTGCATTTTAATTGACTTTGATCCCCCTTACTGTGAAACTCATTATTCAGGAAGAATCGAAAGAATATATGCTCCAGTTATATGCTGAGATTTGTAAAGAGAGAAAATGAGCAACCAATCGACAGGTCAGTATCATGCTGGGAGCCATTATATCATCAGAACATAATAAAGTCAATGAAAGATTTAAAGAGATTGAAAAATTTGTTAGATTTTGGTGGCGGACCTAAGTCAACGGTTTTAAGATGCCTGTGATGTCCAAACTACTCCCAAACAGTCTTACACGCATTTTCTTCAAAACAAAATAGAGAGTAATTGTTAGAATGTGTTTAATAGATGCATATTATATTTGAATGTATGTTTTGATCATTCAAACACCAGGCAACATACAGCTGGATAGCTTGTCAGAGACTGGAATGGACTAGAGGCGTGCTAATACTGATTATTACACAATTGCGGCTGGGATTACAATGCTTGTGATTACAAGAATGCCTGAAGTGGCACTGATTTAGTGAGTATGCATTCTCCTATACTTTAATTAGGTTATATAGAGGCTGACTCTGTTGCTCCTTATGAGGGAGCTCCTGTTCTCTGAACGAGTACCTCCGCCCAATCCACTGCTTAGCCGTTGGGGAGGGAGCCTGAAACGCATCAGCCCCAGTTGCCAAAGCTTGACTGGGGTCTCTCCAGACCTTTTTCATCCTACCAGACTCTTCTTCCAGGCAGGTATCTCCCCCTCTGCCTTTTCTTATGCAACTTTCCTTCCAGGCAGGCATTGTCCCCTCTTCAGCTCTGCTTATAGTGATTGCTCCTGTCTTTACAAAGATATTTTAGGCTCTCATGCCTAGCTCTCTTGATTTACCCCAAGGCTAGAGGGATCGTGCAGCTAGCCAACAGGTCCGAAGACTCTGTTACAGGATCCCTAAATTCCACACATGACACACAGTTCCAAAAAGAACTAACATACCATTCTTTATTTTTTACTAAGGACTAGCCCATATGCTCATAACATTTAGATTGCTGTGACACTTCAATAAAATAAAAAATATAAATTAAAATTAATACATGCACTCTATAATACCAATAACATTTTCAAACACAATAAAATGCAATTATGTATACATTTTACTACTTATTTGATTGTTCTCATTTGCATACAAGTCACTTCTAGACATTCAGCAGAGGGCGCTGCAGAGTTATCGAGTAACAATGAATAGTTTGAACATTGATTGCTGCTGTCACACACCTCTTTCAGGGACTCTTGGGACCAGGTCCAAAGTCTGTGTGTAAGAGGCTGGCCTTCAAGCCTCTTCAAAAGGCCATTGCATTGGAGCTTCTGTCATACTCCTAAAGAGTTTTGAACAAAAATGTTTGGTTTAAATTTTGCAAACTGGCCATCAGTTCATCACGATTAACTGTTAAATAAAACTCTGAGGACTGCATTCTGTTATGCGAGATAAATTATCTCTGCTAATTAAACAGCAATTCCCTACAGATTTCAGTTGGAGAACTACTATTCAGTTCCCAGAGGTAAGTTTGTCCCAGTATCCAGCATTAAATGAGAAAAAAACTGCTACATTTGGAATGTATCCAGAATGAAAGCAATTCTCATGAAATCATAGTGAATAGGAATTATTCAGGATATATAAATGGATTGTGTAATAACTATATAATGAACACAGAAAATACATATGAAAAAAAATATATATAACCTGGAAATCAGGATAAATAAATAATATAACCAGGTGCCGAATCTAAAAAGGAAAGGAAACTGTATATGGTGAAGTAATATTAGGACCAGTGTGAGGTGCACTTTTTGGGGTGGTTGTTCTTTACAACACATGTGTTAAATAGTGATTTCTTTGTTTGTATATTAAAATGATGCTACACTCATCATCTGACCCACTATTGCTTTCAATGCAATATATTGATGATATTTTAATATAATGGAAAACATAAAAAAAAAGAAAAGAATAAATAACGTTAAGGTTCCTAAAAATTGGCTGCAATTTGACTGACACGTGTCTGCAACAGATGGAATCCTCCCTGGCCAAGCAAAGTTGGACCAATCAAGAGTCTCATAGTCTGGCTTACGGGATTATTTTTCTTATCCCATAAATCTTTATCCAGTGTGAGTTTATCCATCATGGTTACTTCCATCGCATAAAATAAGTGGAACTACAGGTGTTTAAAAAGGATGTACAAATTATGAATGTGACGTCTGAGGGCCAAGGGCCACAGACTTATAACTGGGGGAATATTTGCAATACTGTTAGAGCATTGAACCACTCTCAGTAGGGATATCAGGTGCAGATTGCAGAGGACTTGCTACACCATGATTCAAAGTTGTTATTGTGCTTGTAGGAGCCTTTACTATGGCGTCATAAAAGTCAATAAGACATTGAAGAAGCATAGCGTTGTATTTTTCAAAGTTTCCATCAGCAAACAGAATGAGAAAGAACATTTACTTTAAAAATAGAGGCAGAACATTTTTTTATGTTAAACTATATCACATAAAGAAAATCCAACAAAAAGATTTATCACATTCTTTTGGGAATATCAGTCATTATTTTGTTAATATTTAAATTTAAAATCAGACAAAAATGCAGTTAGCTGCAGTCTATCTACCCACGAACACACATGAAGGAATCGAAATTCCTTCACCCTGTAAATGTAACGCTTTTTACATATTTTATGCGTTTCCTACTGGGTAGCATATCATATTATTCCTTATTGTAATAAATAATCTATGTATATAAAATTGAGTCTATCTATATTTTACCGATAGAACATTGTGCACTCAAAGGAAACCAACAGGAAAAAGAATCCAACTTTACTCTTTACAAACTTTGCCCGTCTCTTTTGCAGATTCCGCAGTACCTGTCACAGCATAGACGAATTGTTTCATTCATACACAATAAAGGCCAGAGGTGAAATATGATTTAAGATTTTCAAGCAGTCAAGAAACAAGAACATTTTGAAGGCCAGGCAACTCACCCTTTCATTAATTTCCTTCTAACCAAACATACTTATTGACTCAATGGCCTAAATCAGATTTATCACCCCAGCATGTACACTCTGGCCAGACTAAATAGACTGGGTATGTTTTGTGCAAATAACTGGGTTTAGTGAAGACTTTAAAAGCTCCCCTGAGGTTTTGGTGCCAACAGTGATACTGTAGATGTGGGGGAAAAGACATCTAACTTATGCATCCCAGACTACATTCAGGATCCACTGATAGACCCTGTTAGTGCTACCACCAGGTAATGATCTTCACAAACATGAGGTGTAGACCACATGTTCCCTACCTACTGTAAGAGGACTTGGGATGACCAAGGCAAACCTCTATAATGCACATAGGATACTTAGAGGACACTTTAATTTTTAGGAGTGTAGGTGGAGATGTGGCCAGTGGCAGGGCTGTACTGAGGAATTTTAGATGATATACTAATAATTTCATAAACTAAAATGTAATTTAGAACAAGAACAATGTATCTTATTTACACAGACGGTTTTCCATACATGTTTATTGTAGATTAAAGACCCATTACTGGGAGTATTCTTGCTATGGAGCTCTGTTACACACCCAGGGGCGGACTGACCGGTCGGGCACTTCGGACACGGTCCGAGGGCCCGGCCGGGAGGGGGGCCCGCCGCCAGGGCCGCCTTCAGGGGGCCCGGCGGCAGGGCTGGATTGGGGTGGGGACTGCAGGTGCCACCGGGTGGCCAGTCCGGTGGCACACTGTGAG